TCACCTTCACCTCTTATCTCCCTTCTAGTGGTTGACTGGATTATGAAGAACTCCACACCTGACAGGAAGCACGGAATACAGTGGACAGCTTGCATGAAACTAGACAATCTGGATTCTTCAGATGACCTAGGCCTCCTACTCATGCACACCAACAAATGCAGGTGAAGACAACCGGTGTATCGGGAGCCTCTGCATCAGTAGGCCTGAACAAACACAAGGGAAAAGCATGGTCCTTAAATACAGCACAGAAAACACCAACCAACCCAATCACAATTGATGAGGAAGCCCTGGAAGAGGTGAAAACTCTCACGTACCTGGGCAGTATCATCGATGAACAAGAAGGATCCGATGCAGACGTAAAGGTGAGGATTGGCAAAACAATAGCAGTATTCTTGCAGTTGAAGAACATATGGAACTCAAAACAACTCTCAATCAATATCAAAGTCAGAATTTTCAATATGAATGTCAAAACTGTTTTACTGTATGGAGCTGAAACTTGGAGAACTACTACTACAACCATCATCATCAAAAGAGTATAAGCATTTCTAAAGAACTGTCTACGCAAAATACTCAATGTCCGTTGGCTGGATACCAACAGCAACAGCGTACTATGGGAGGGAAAAAACCCGCTTACAGCTGAAGAATAAACTAGGAAAAGATGATAGAGGTGGGTAGGACATACATTACAGAAATCAACTAACTGTATCACGAGGAAAGTCCTTATTAAGCTCGCTACTTGATTAACGCAGAATACAGTATACAACTACAGCACTCGGACGTATAGAACCCCCGTGGTCGCGAATGACAAGATAGAAGACTGGAGAAGTGCTTGTTGGGTGAGTATCAAAACGTACGGAAAATTATGGGTATTTATAGATATTAGCGTTTGTTATATCAACATTATACTTCAGCAAAGAGGCATGTTATGCTACTCTCCAATAGTAGCATACCACGTTGATATTCTAGAAAGCTCTATCACGTTCTGATTGGATGGAAACTCTTCGGCTCCTTTAGGGCCACTGAAGGCTCCATCGTAGTTCTCAGAAGTCATCCAGACACCTCCTCGGAATAAGATTTATTCGTTGGATCCACTTGTAGTCTGACAACTGGTTTGCGACGGCATTCCATTTTGTTCGCTGTCTTTATGGTCCAAGTCTTCTTTTCCGTATTCTTGGGAGAATATGTCGTTAATGTATCTGAGATTAACTCTAGTGGGAGATTCAGCTGATTATCTCGAGTATGCATCATTCTTTTATCTTTAAGGATTTGGTTTGTGTGTGTGATACATGTGCGAAACGTTCCTCAGACTTTGTACAAAACTTTTCCCAATCTTTGTACGAGTTTTTGGGATTCTCATCGATTCTTCCAGAGGTAGAACTTAACGAACACTTGGTCATCAACGTTAAAATTTCGGATATTAAGATTTGGTCTGTGCCTATCCACTATTTTGGTTGGCAACATGGCGTTGAAAATAGTTCGAATACGTCTTCCGAACATGGCTTCAGCAGGAGAATTACCATCTGGGACGGTTGGGTTCGGAGTAGTTCTGTAGGCCATTAAAAATTTTGTAATTACCTGTCTAGTTGTCCCCTCGCCTCCCTTTTCAGCGATGCTCGTTTAAGTGTCGACAAAACGTTCTGCTTTTCTATTCGATCGAAGATGACAGGGCGGAGAACGTAGATGTATTATTCCATTTATGTTGAAAAAATACTTGATTGATTCTGCAACGAATTGTGAGCAATTGTCAGTCACTAAAATCTCTGGGACTCTAAAACACCTGAACAAAGTAGACAATTTGTGGTCTGTTTCTGATGTTGTACAATTGGGCATACTATATATTTCTGGTCACTTCGTAAATGCATCTAATCGGCGGCATCATTACGTCATATATTAGTAGGGAACAAGTCACAACAGTGCTAACTTAAAATCCTGAAGGTAAACGGAAAAGAGCAAGGTCAAAGAGCACACTGTGTCGAGAATCGGAAGCAGATATCAAAGGGATGAATAGCAACCGGAAACGATTGCCCAGGACAGAGTTGGATGAAGAATGCTGGTGGACGACCTATGCTCGTCCAGGAGGGGTAACAGGTGTAAGTAAGTAACGTAAGTGTTAAGTATGCACAATCCAAGTCTACAGAGATATATACAAAAATAGTTTACACGATTACTTTGTGTAGGTATTTTAAGCTTTAGGTCCTTCCGTAATAACCTTTGTTCTTATATTTTTCATCATTAATATTTTGAAAATCTTATTTTTTGATGTACCACAATGTAATGTTGACAAACGTTATTTAATAGTTGAATTCACGAGTCGATCCAAGCTAAACGACCACTGAAAACCTGGAAGCATTGGATGGCCGTTTCATCATAATGTAGGACTCTCCCCAGCAGTGCGTATCCACAATCCCGCACACGGGGTTCGAACCCAAGCCCTTCGGCCTCGTGCGCGAAAATTTCACCTTTAGACTACTGAGCCGGCATCCAATGGTGTTAATGTCTAACTTCAATCGGTTCATGATCTTGCACAACCCGTCATCCGTTGCCGTTCAGTGCGTCCAGGTTTTCTATAGTGGTCTAGCTCAAATAAACTCATGAATTCAATTATTAAAATTACTACAATCTCTACAACTCCCCATTCTGATAAAATGTTTTCATTTTGATTGACTTTAATTAAATTCAAACGACCCTCATTGGTCTACTTTTAAAGTTCCATACTATAATTTCTTCAGTATTTAGTTATTTACGTCTATGACCTTTAGTCTCCCATAACTGTTATATTTTCTAATCGATTTATTTGTTCACATTATTTACTAGTAGTTTTAGAAGTTTGCATAGATTTCACTCACTTCCTCACTCATACCTAAATATCCATGAAACAAACAAGCAAATAAATGTTATCACATCATTTCATGTAAATTGTATGATTGTACAAGACTTGGAAGTGAGATCATCTCAATGATATTTTTTGCTTTACTGAGCTGCTTAATTTATATCGTAGTGGCGCAATAAATGAAAATCAATTTATTCTGGTGTCAAATAAATATATTTAAACTTGAAAAACGAGTGCATAGTTTGGAAATAATTGTTAGTCAGTCAGCTTTTATCCATAATCATCACTTGGAGCTATTTATATAAACAGAAATGAGAGCACTGAGATCGAATGAGTAACAAAGGAATTAGAGGATGTTTAGATTTACTTACGAAGATCTGTTTTTACTGTTTGCGACTGTCATTTGCAATACGATTTCACTACTGTAATAACGAAGTGACATTTACTACTGTACTTAAGTCATTCAGCTTCCCACACAGACTAGTATATAGTATAGTGCTTTTCTAACTTCAGATAGTCTGAATTTCTTATAACTAGCAGTTCAGCTTTTAATGTCTCCAGTGTAGGCTAATAGTGCGATAACAAGTGATAGAGAGATCGGTTAGAAATCACATCAGATATCGTGAAAAGGAAATCTCCAATCTCTGGTTCCATCAAATGTAAGTATAGCAAATTTCTTTCCAAATAGTCACCATTTTGTATACAGAAGAGGATTTATTTGTCATATTCATTTTCTTACTTAACGAAATCTGTAAATCAGACATCCATATACCTTTGATGTAACCAGAGAAGGGATGATAGTAAGTGAAGTTGCACCTCGAAGATCTGCCTGTATACTAGAAGATAAATCAAAAGATAGTATAATAAGATGGGTTCTTTACTCAATGGTGCAAAACTTACTCTGATTAGTGTTGCAGTCGAACAATTTTAATTCTCCATCTAGTGAACCGCTGACAACGTGTACAGTATCAGAAAAAGCGGTGTCTAAAACTGGAGTACTATGTTGGTAAAACAAACGTTGACTTCCTGAAGCCACATCATAAATTCGCACCGTACAGTCCCAACTTGAAGCGACTAGGAATTGTGGAGCTGCTTTCCCAGGTTGGAAACGAACAGCAGTAACACCATCAGTTGGAAGAGAAGATAATTTGTACTGATCCACAGTAGTAGTCAAAGGAGCCATTGCTAAAAAAATGAATTTATCTCCCAGGATAAATATAAGCTGCAGAAATCAGTTATGAAAACTACGCTGTACTGTTTTGTATCAAAATTGTGATTTTTTCTGGAAAGAACATGTCATCCTACTGTGCGTAAGTAAAATTTTTCGTAATAGCTGTAGTCATGTTAGGACTCTAGAAATGATATAATGAATGACGGTTCTAATGAGTTTTAAGCACTTAGAGTGTTGACGCATGTGACTATGTTTAGAAATTATCACTGCTGGCGGGAGAAAAGATTGAACTAATGGGCATTGATAGTCATATGCAAGTGACTTCTTGCAATCTGTTCGTTTAATAACTCGGTACAGAAAAACGTTCCCTTGATTTATTGCTCTGATTTGTGAGAATATAGGGGAAAATTTGCACAGTATGTTCATACATATTGGAGAATCACATATACACCTAAACATTAATTTGATTTACGGTCTAATCAGCTGATGTAAGCATGGTTGTTTTCAGCATTAGGTGATTTTATTTACAGCAGACTGAAGGCATTAAGCAACCCTGTGTGTAAGACTTTGACCGCAATTATTGCGTATGAGAGCTGATGGATATTATGCACTGAGCCAAACTTTAGCTGATGCCAAGTGCTTCGAGCCCCTGTCTGAACGACTTAGGTTTGAAAATCGAAACCTGTAAGACAAAATTCTAATCATAGTTCGACATGAATAAAAGTCGTATTACGATAATTCCTGTTCATAGAAAAAACAAATATTCTTTTTCACTATGAACACAGATTTTAAGGTTGGAATGGAATTAAAATCAACTATTAAAATACTAATATGGTTACAAGTATTTTAGTTCTTCTGAGTAAGTCATTGTACATTAAGGAAAAACTGTAGGTCGCATTGAAACTATATAAATATTCAATATCAGATGTAATATTTATCATAAAGGATCAAACTAGGAAACAATGGCAGTCATACAGTTAATCAAGAACGATACTACATAATGTTTATACACTGTTTATTAGAATTAGTTTACACCGAAATTTATTAAAAAGAACAATTAACATGAATATCAATGAGTATATTATTTTCTTAGAAAAAAAACAAATGAAGCAGCTGGAAGCGCTTCGGCGTTTTCTGCAATTAGCAAACTACACATACAGACAGAAAAGTTTTGGAAATAAATCATACATATCGTAGACAGAAACACAGAAAAAACCAAGTGTATTGAAATATTTCAAAAATAAAGGAAATCAAATTTATGCAACTCAATATTAACTCAAGTTCGTAGAAAATAGAGCAGACACAACCGAAATAAGCTGACTATAAAAAGGTGGGCAATACATAAGAAGCAATAAGTAGTTTAAACATAAGTATTCACTGGATGGATAATTGCGAGTAACTGATAAGTATTTTTATTAATTATTACCTGGTTCACTTTTTTTACATAGAATATAAAACAATACCCAAATATTTTTTTTTAAAAAAGAGAAAATATGGAAAACTGATGGTGAGTAACTACCTGAAACGATCTCGTATAATTCACCAGATGTCTGTAGAAGTGTGAACATGCACATGAAAAAATAAGCAAACAAAAAACTGTACAATAACAACCACGGAAAATAACGATGAAGGCAATTGGTAAGATATATATTGCTAGAATGATTTGCACAGGTTTACACTCTGAGTAGAAATAAGTTCGTTATCACAAATATTTATTTGAGTCGGTGATAGCAAAAATGGAATATATATTTAGTTAATAATCAAAAGGGGAATCATTATGTGCAAGAAAGAACTGGAAAAAGAGAAAACGAGGTATTTAGTGCATAACAAAATAAATATGGAGATTCTTTACTTTTGGTGAGTTCATAGAGATAATAACCGATTCAGGTGACAGCTTCTAATAATCCTTATTATCGGATATGCTTACAACTTCATCGTTTTTGGCATCAGTTTCAAGATATGTGTGATATCGGGATAGATCAGGCCAATACCAAGATGAGGTGATTTTGCCACCTGATATATTTGATGAACTAGATTCAAATACTCTTTCTATAACAGATTTCTGATTATGTTTATTGGGATTCAGACATAACCAAGGCACCTTTCGTGTATTTAATCGAAGCAAAAACAAAGTAAAAATCTTTCCCAGTACTAATATTATAACAGACTGGTGAAAGACTGCCCATAAACGATAATTTGGGCCAGGGAATGGGTCGCTTATAGCTGGGCACAAAATATTGTTAAGATTTATTCCTGTCATCTGCAAAAAAAGACAATAAATTAATCACTTGGAGATCCAATTAATTAATGCACAAATATTTAAAAAAAATTTGCACTGTGCTAATGTGGTGTGGCAACTCGAACTGATGTACGTACGTACGAAGTTCTACGTTGTTACTGACTGACTGACTGACTGTTTAATGATTATGGACAATCAAAGAAAATAATTTATCACCAATAACGGAGTACATTTCATTAACATAGATCATTTATGAAAAAATTAATGTATCGCAATTTATAATCCAGTTCCAAATACTTTTGTTTGATCAGCCACACATCATCGTGTATTTGATCAAGTAGAGATACGGAAGTCATGTTATTATCAAAACTATTTAACATAAAAGAAATGTATTGAAAACAGAATGGTACATTATAAGTTTGGACAAAGTAGAACCACTAGTTAACAAGAGACTACAACTATCTGTAACAAAATAAAGTAAGGTTACTTAAAGATTTATGTTTCAAATTCATATACTTTTGACCGTCATGGAATGAGTCGATCGTTGTCCCTATCTTTAAAAGCGGTTCACGTCGTTCCTGTAACAACTATCGGGGGATAAGTCTACTTCCGATTGCGTCCAAGCTATTAGCTTCCATCACACTTCGTAGGTTGTTCAAAACCCGAGAAAGATTGACCCGCGGGGAGCAAGCCGGTTTTCGTTCTGGTCGAGGATGTATTGATCATATTTTCACCCTCCGCCAAATGTTAGAACACCGCCATACTTATCAAAGGCCAACAATCATAGTGTTTCTTGACATTAGGGCTGCCTTCGATTCGTTGGAGAGGACTGTTCTCTGGGATTGTCTATTGAAGAAGGGTGTGCCTGAGAAGTTTATTAACATCCTAAAGGCCTTATATACAAACACCTCAGGCAGACTGAAGGCATACAACCACCTCTCTCCATTGTTCCATTCGAGCAGTGGGGTTAGACAGGGTTGCCCGAACTCACCATTCCTCTTCAACTTTGCCATCGATGACATTCTGGAAACAGCTCTGATAAATGCAAGTAATGGTGGTATGTATCTGTTGCCTGGACAAAGACTTCTCGACCTTGAGTATGCGGATGATATTGTCTTACTGTGCGATAATGCCCAAGGCATGCAATCTGCACTTAATCAGTTGGCAATCAGTGTCTGTAGGTATGGTATGTGCTTTGCACCTTCGAAGTGCAAAGTACTTCTACAAGACTGGCAGGATTCTAACCCTGTACTCACCCTGCATGGTGAGTAGATAGAAGTAGTTGACAAGTTCGTGTATCTGAGTAGCTGCATAAATGCTGGTGGGGGTGTGAGTGATGAGATCAATGCACGTATAGTGAAAGCCAGAGCGGCTTATGCCAATCCGGGCCATCTTTGGCGCCTTCGTTATGTTAGTCTGGCTGTAAAAGGTCGGATCTACAACGCGTCGATGAGAGCAGTTTTGCTCTATGCTTGTAAAACTGGCCTCTCCGAGTTGAGGATGTTAGACGACTCTCTGTGTTCGATCATCGTTGTCTCCGAAGGATTGCTGACATCCAGTGGCAACACCATGTTAGTAATGTAGAGGCTCAGCATCGTGTGTTCGGGCACAAAGACGATAATGCAGTTGGTGTCACCATCTTGAAACACTGACTTCGGTGGCTCGGACATGTTCTACGAATGTCATCCCAGAGAATTATGAAAGAAATCTGAACAGAGGTGGCTTCTGTTGGTCCTTCATGACTCCCTGGTTGGGGTCCTAGAGATAGTGCAACACAGTGGCTTGAGATGTTATCAGACATGGCTAAAAATGGAAGTCAGTGGCAATCCTGCTGTAACTTTCCTCATAAAAAGTGAACGTAACTTTTTAACTCAAAGCATTCTTTCTGGTTGTATTTTTCCTAACCGAACTGCCTCTCCTATTATTATTTCACTATCATACACTAATTTCCGTTCGCTGTTATTCTCCTTTTTCTTATACGCACTAGGCATGCTCTATCTCTTCATAGCCTCGTTGTTATTGTATGGTGCATATGTATTTGAGGCCCCTTTGCAATAATATTTGTGTCCAAATAAATAAAATTCTAAAAAATATTTTACCCTGATACAGATTCTATTTATCATTGGATAAGACCTAACTTACCAAAGCAATGGGTTGTAGGACTAAGAAATGATACAGAACCTGTATACTTAAAGAAAATATCACCCATGAAAAATCATCAATTGGTTCAACTGAAAATTCACCTGTTGTAAAAGCAAGAAATAAAATATCTCATGTTAAATACCCAGTTAATTTTAATTGTAACTTTAAACACTGAAATCTACCACGAATATTTGAAATACTTTAGTGACTGAGAAGGAAAATTGTACTGTGTTTACGAATTGTCTTCAATACCTAGTTTTGCAAAACAATCATTGTATTAGATGTAACCAGTTAGTCATGGCCAATGTAGAGCCTGACACATGTTTTGGCTAGAGTTGCCATGATACGTTAGCACAGCGAGGTGGATTTTAAAAAATAGCAAAGTGAAATGTAGCAGAAAAACCAAACATTAAGGAAACGGCACGAATAAAAAAAATTAAAAAGATGTGTCAAAATGTACTGAAACTTAAGATCTAGAGGTAGATAAAGGGTGATTACATCTGTGCCGCTGTGACCGATTCTGAGCCATGTTACACGATGTCGTACACCATTGACCGAGGTTGTCATAAAAACCACAACTAGGTAGTTTGCGTCCACCAATATGACTCATAACAATAGCCAATGAAAGCATAGTGTTCAACCCTCCATCAGCTTAGGTAGCCGGATAGTGAGTGTCACAAACTAGAGATAAGCGTCCCTCAAAGTTGATTACAAACGTGGCAAACAGGTCCAAATAAATATCACAACATAAAATATCGGATAAAACCAAGTTAAAGTGGATGGATTACATTAATCTATGTTGTAACAACAACAATAACAACCATAATAAAACTATGCATATAAAAGGGTACGATAAAGTGAGAGAAAATTGTTCTTTTTACTAGTACCCATCATGTTTTCAACAATCAATTTATGGAAGTTTATGCAATAGCCACAAAAGCTCAGTTCATTATCAACTTCTTTTATTTTGTTGCCAAACCAGCCATTTTCACAGTTTACTCTTCATACAACAAGCCACACTACAATATAGATACTGAAACATACATACATGAACTAGAATAAACAATAAAAAAGTAGACGAAACAAAAATGATACAGAAACATTCACCCGCATAGAATGCATTCCTTTTTAAAGAAATAAGCACCTTTATACAAATTAACCGAAGCTGTACTGGGTAACTAGACACAATACATTTTAGCAATTTTAACAAAATAAGACTTACTACTCTGATTCAAAAAGCTAGCAGGAATTAAAATAATCAGAATATGTTGCACGAAGTAGGTCACATGTTCGAATGGCAGCTTTAAAAAATGTAAACAACTACGTTAGAACTCTTGTTATACACAAGTCATCAAATTTCTCAGTAAATTTAGTCCAATCATCAGAACACGTGGTTTAGTGACTCAAAAGATATGTTAAAATATGTGTTCGGGACGCTGAAAATTGCTGGGCTTTAACATAAATATTATAAGTATAGCAGTTATGACTACACCTACTGGCACTTCAATGATTCAGGAACAATTTTCAACCTTCAGCTTGTACTTTTATTTTTCGTTCATATAAAAACATCGAATATCAGTCATTAATAACTCAATTTTACACATACATACAGGCACAATTTGTTCAGTCATTTATTTTCACATCATGAACTTTTCACATGTTTCGCATTTAACTGACTCATGTTATCCTACTTACTAAAAGTCAAGATCCAAACATGATTGCATTAACACAGTATGGATTTGACTGCTAAAAACGCTATATATTTCTTTAATGATTTTGATTTTTACCATGAAGAAGTCCAGACAAGTATCTGGACGAAACGTTGGAATTATTTAAATTTCAATCGCTGAGACTATTTCAAGTATAGTTTTCACATATAATGACGTATAATAGACTTCCTAATCTTAAATTGTCATAATCCCTGACTACATTAAAGACATCAGAACTAGGTTTCTAGAAATTGTATTACCAGTCCCTTGAGATTCGCAATCTTAAGTTGAAATGAGTTCCGGATGTTAAAAGTGTAACTAACGATTAATTAAATGATTTGGAAAGGAACAATGAACATGTCGGCTTCAATTGGTGTCCAGTGAAACATTAAAAAAATGGAATCGAGATATGAAAGGTGATTTTAACAAAAGTTGACAAGGTTATTCAAAGTAACAAAATGTGTTTATTTATGTACTGAGACTCGATACACAAGTGTAAGTACGGGTGGACCTTACAGAAGTATATCCAGATACTTTTTTAATTATAACCAACCAAACTTATATTAACAATTATTAGACTCAACCGTGACTTACTAAACATAAGTTCATCATATTACGTTTCAACCAAAGCTTAGAATTAATAGATATCTAATCATAATATCCCCGACAGGACGAATTAACTACTAGTCTTTCAATGGATTGACTAAATTATCATTTTACCAACCTCTAAAATATACTATTTAGCTATCTCAAACATTTTTTCCGATCCTGATAAGGCTCTAGAAACTGCTGAAAGATGTTCTATTAACGCCTATGTCACTGAAAAGAATATATAGAAGGTATATTGAAGTTACTGAAGATTCTTTGTCTAAACTAACGTAGTTATTCAAGTTTACTGAATCGTATTCCGAGGTTATCACAAATATTGGCGTCATAAAAGCCAAGTTCATGAGTACGTATAATGAGTGGTAAGTTCAGCTTCCTGATGTTCAAGAACTCTCTTACCGGTGAACTTAAATTCCTGGTTTGATGGAACTAATTAGAAAGTAAATAATTGCACTTTCTGATTTTAAGTTAAATACAAACATTTATTTTTACTCATTGAAAAATTACTGATTAATATACATTTCAGTTAAGGACGATTGTGAGTACAGAAACTCAATAAAAAGTAATCCACTTATCCTGATAGTTATATTCGCAACGAGTTAAGCATTACTGTATTGAGCTAAACAGTACATTGGGTGCCTTTTAAACAAGAGATCAAGTTGCTTACCTGGAAACCTACATCAATTCTGGAGGTCATGTGATGCTCCCATACTACATAGTAAAATAATAATAACCATAATCATTAATATGGCTTTTTGAACGTTTGAAAATATATCCATAATCGGGTGTAATTGTGGTTAAGCGTTCGCTACTGAACAAAAAGTGCGATAACAAGTAAATTCTCATGAGTTCTTTAGTGAGTTGAATATCCCAATAGACGACCTATACATTTTGCTTCAAATTACTTCTATATGTAACAACTATCAGACTGTCACTAGAAAACGTAGTGAAGTCGGTAAATAGGATCTCACACTTGATCTAAGGTTGATATTACTCATTTAATCGGCTGCTTATTGATCTGTATTTTGCACCATGTTCGTGTTTTAAACACAAATATTAACACATCTAACTTATCAAACAAAATAACGTAGGTCAGAACAAAACAAACTGTAAACTATCTGGAAATGTGGTCTCAGGGATTCAAGTGACTAGTATTGTTTCACTTTTTACGGTAGAAAAGCCATACGTATTACTGCTTACCCAAGGAGCCTTAACTAAAAAAGCAACCAAACAGAAAACTAATGGATTAACATGAACGTCAGTAAGAACTTACGAAACGAGTGTTTAATATTGGGAAAGTTAACGCTAACAAAGGACCATTCATCATATGTAAGTGGATTCGAAAAATAAAAGTTGTAAGCCAAGATGACGATGAAGCCAAAAATAATATCTAGAAGGTAGCAAAATGCAGGGATGTTACATTTATTAAACCAGGAGACAATCGGAATAGTAAAAAACAATCGGCTTAAAGGTATCTAGTCGAATTTCTAAACATTGTAACAACTGAAATCAGCATAATAAAATTTTGTGTGGAAAACAGAAAAATAACTTATTAACAGTTGGAAATTTATGAACAACCATTGCGTTAGATGATTTGATCTACACAATCTAAATCAAAATGCTTTAAATACTGATCATTCTGGTTAAAGCTCAAGTCAATAAGAACAAAACCGAAGGTCAAAGCAAAGTGCGACATAAGTTCATGAAATGATTGGCTGGTAGACTGACCTAAAAGAGTAGGTGCGGAGTTTCAAGTTGAAATCCAGAGGATGACCGTAATTTAAGGTTGGAGATGCTGGTTAGTAAAACCGGAAATCCTAATAATTGAAGTTATTCTTTTTTTTCAATCTTGTGCTTAGCACTATTCCGATCTTCCCCTACTGTGACAACTCAGTCAGCCAGCTACAACGTAGGTCCAGGCACATATGGATCGGTCCAAGTTGCCACACCTCTGTGACAACTAACGCCCTATTTTTACTTAGAACGACTAATTTTCGAGAAGTCTCACCTTCTATCTCTGAAGTTTGTTCCTCAATGCAATGATGAGGTGCAGATACTAAATTCGATGTCGTTCACGACTGACTGTCCAGATAACTCAAGAGAAGAATATGTTAGACTTCGAAACCTCATAAAATAAGTCGACTAAGTCATCAATCTTGCACAACTATATTTTGAAAACCTTGTAGTTTGGTCATACTTAAGTTACTGAAGGCATACTTTAATGTTACCAGTAACCTAGAAATAGTCATAATACGTCCCATCGCAAACCCATTTTCGACTAAGTTGCCCCAACTATCGTATTGTTCCACGCCTCTTGTTTGGTGAGCGACCTTAAACAGAGCACGAATCAACCATATTCTTGATGGACAAATACATATCATTATGGCATCATTCAACTTCATTTGACAAATAACTCGCGGAGAAAATGAGAGTAAACAAGGGATAGTACCGAGAAATCTAAACACAGTAATGACAATAAACAAAGCAGTGGACACTCACAATAATCTATTTTATTGACGCTTGAACGATTTTTAACAGATTTTTCATGATAAAACTTTTCGTTCGCAAAAATAGAAAAAATGAGTAGTACAAAAAGATGAAGCAACTCAAAGCGAATTACCTGTAGCATGGTTATAATGTGACACGGATTTAATATCCAAATAAGTGTGCTAGTGGCTAGCTTGAAGCCTATTTCAATCCCGAATACAAACGTGTGCAATACAAGAAGTATCTGTCTGAGCTTCGTTTGTTCATTAGAATGACGAGGATTTCCAACACTAAATTTTAAATACGACCAATAGAGAGTGTATAAGAATGTTATGCAGACACATGCAGATTCGAAGAACCTTCTTTTCGTTGTAATATAATTAATACAACTCTGACCTCCTGCCCCCTCGATACTTGTATTTACACCCGTATACGTCCAACTTAACATAATCCTTAAGGATTTACACAAGGCCACAACTTATTGCAATATTCTAAAACATTGAGGTTTCTCAGGCTTGTGAAATGATAGGCGACGCCTGACGCAATGTAATACCTCATTGGGATCCCATCCGAAATCCCTCCCGCGCCCAACGTACGCTAATCAGGAGTAACAAAACAAATAAAACTTGTGTCTGACAAGTTAACACAAGTCATTTGACTTAATTGTACTGTCTCCTTATTGCCAAAAACTTTTAGCTATTCATCAGCCTCCTGTGATGTTAATATACTTTATCTGCCACAATTACTCTCGTGAATTCGCTAATTAGAATTGGGAAGTTTTTATGTTGACCCACAGTGACCCTAGCAATATATTTGCCTCCAAATATACTGCTTTCTATGAAATCATTCTTCGTAAGAGTGACACGATTGGTTTGTATAGGACTACCCAGTCGTTAACCTCTAGTGGTAAGTAAACCCGATCTCTCTATTTTGGGGGAAATTTTGTCCGTTTTGGGTAAAATTCTTATCAAAATAGTTTAAAAGTGATGAATAGGGATAAATGCACTTGCTTTATGGAACTCTTGGCTATGTGTTATACTAACCTCCATATTTGACGCTGTTAAAGTTCGAGAATTCGCTTTACTCGGTAACCGTAAATCGTTAACGTCTTCTTTTGATTCATAATCCCGTGAAACTAAGTAAAATAGACTTTTTTGTGATCAGTTCTTGCTCTTATTTGTGTTTCTTTCGTTAATTATAAGAATTTGTACAATTAATATCATCGACTGTAAAATTGTCCTTTGGGAAAATGAACTTCGACCTTCTTTTCCGTATTTGAATACCCCATAACATGACTCAGTGATTATCGCTCACAAACATACTGCTGCACACGTATGTTACTTGTCCTTAACTATCTGCCATTACGATAACAGAACTCTTATATATTCGCATTCTATGTTTACAGATCACAGTGATATCCTCATTACATGCTTTATCTGGATATAAATCTCAAGTTATAGTAATTATAGTTGAAAATACTAACTACCTATAATTGCGGATTACAAGACCAACGGAAACTCGAACATGCCGATTTCTGACAATTTAAGTGACGTCCTGTATATTCTTGTTTGCATAATTTATGTTTGATATATGAACATGTGGAGATAGATCTGACAAGCTTATCTTGTAAATAGTTTTTAATATTATTTGTATTTGTCAATTTCTCACTGAATGTACATTTATCATTAAATGATTGTACCTGTTGTTTAAGTAAAATGACCTTGAAGACTTTCCGTTGTGTTACTAACATAGCGTGACATACTTTCGGTGGTTCGCAAATACACTACTACGCACATACCCATTGTTCTATTCTCGCTCGTTACCAAGTCAATTGCGTTCTAAACTGGATATTATCCTCATTTCAGACTGCTGTGTCATTTCCATTATATCCTACGTCAAAGAAACTTATTGGCGTCATATTTACCTCTGTGGAATTATTACGCATTCATAATTGTGGATTTATGGGACCAAAACTCAACAGAATACGCAACGACTAGCCGATTTAAGTAACGTCCCTGAACTTTTAATTTGTGTTGTTAATTTATAAATTATTATTGTTACATTAATTTTGGACGTAATAACTTTATCACTGATTTTTGGTTATTATACTTTTTGGTCCACCACAATTATTTGGTGAGCCTCGTTTTTTTTATAGACATTTACCTTATATATCTACATATTTTTTTATTATTATTACCTGGCACGACATCGTTTTGTTTTTGTCATTATGAACTCTCCGGGTAAACTTATTGATATTGATAGTTCACCGACCAACCTTCTAAACTCTTCACAACCAGAGGATAATGCTTTAAACTCGATCAACGCTATCTCAGAGTTAAGATTACCAACGTATTGTATTAATAATCCAAGAATCTGGTTTGCTCAGATTGAAGCTTTATTCATGGCTAGAGGCATAAAATATCAGGCATTAAAGTATGCATACGTAGTCGATGCACTTCCTGTTGAGATTGCCGCTGAAGTTGGAGATCTAATCGATCACGTGCCAGGATCTGAACCATACGATAAGATAAAAGCAGCAGTTATTCAACGCACCACGGTCTCAGATGAGAAAAGGCTGCAACAATTGTTAACATCTTGTGACTTGGGAGATAAGAGACCCTCTCAACTTCTCCGTCACATGAAACAACTCGCCGGTCCATACAAGCTAGACGAAGCCCTCCTGAAGCAAATGTGGTTTCAAAGATTACCACACAGCGTTAGACAAATTCTCAGTGTTTCAGGGAAATCCGTCGCACTTGATGACTTAGCCGACATGGCGGATAAAATGATGGAAGTCTACCATGATAGTCACGGTGTGAACTCATTGCAACCATCTGGACCACTAGATATTAGCTGTTTAGTCTCCTTTCAAAAGCAGTTAACGCATTTAACGAGCCAGCTAGCGTCTCTGCAATCAACCATAGCAACCATCCAAGCTAGACAATCGAGATCCCCCTCCAGACGAAGATCTTTTTCTAGACAACGGTCTAGGTCACCGAAGCGAACATCTGATGTTTGTTGGTACCACCAAAAATACGGCACCAAAGCAAGGCGTTGTACACGACCGTGCACATTTTCTGCGTCTGACACAGAAAATCAGGGAAACGGCCCGGCCAGACAGTGATGGCGGCGCCTGTTTCTGGCCACTACCTGAGCCGTCTATTTCATGTCAGGGATCGAATTTCGGGCTCAGATTTCTTGGTCGATACGGGAGCCGAAATCAGCATTATCCCATTACACCTCTCTCAACGACGGCACCCTCAGAGTACTAAATTGTCTCTAGTCGCAACCAATAACACAGGCATTAAGACTTATGGCGAACAATCACTTATTTTAGATCTCGGTCTCCGGAGACGTTTCACATGGGTTTTCATCGTAGCTGAAATCAAACAACCCATTATCGGGGCCGATTTTCTCAGTGCTTACAACCTACTTGTAGATATGGCAAAAAAGAAACTAATCGACAAAAACACAAGCTTACAGGTCAGTGGCACAACTATCTCCAGTTACGAAATTCATGGAGTCCGTATGTTAAGACCTGAAAACAAAATTTTCACCGATATCCTGTCGAAGTATGAAAGTATAACCAGAGCTGATTATCAAAACGAATGCTCCACACATCATGTCCAACACAGTATTACTACTACAGGACCACCTATCCGCGCCAGGGCGAGAAGACTCCCTCCAAACAAGTTGCAGTTCGCTAAGAGAGAATTCGAACATATGATGCAACTTGGGATAATCAGACAATCTAACAGTCCTTGGGCCTCGCCGCTGCATATGGTTCCCAAGAAAGATCAAGACTGGCGCCCATGTGGAGATTATCGCCGTTTGAATAACCAGACTATCCCAGACCGGTATCCGATACCTCACCTGCATGATTTTTCTTTAAATCTACATGGAAAACAGATTTTTTCAAGGTTAGATCTAGTCCGAGCATGCCATCAAATACCGATGGCACCTGAGGATATCGAGAAAACAGCCGTAATCACACCTTTTGGCTTGTTTGAGTTCTTGAGGATGCCTTTCGGACTAAAAAACGCCGCTCAAACTTTCCAGAGATTTATGGACGAAGTAACTAGAGGTTTGGATTTCGTATTTGTCTATATCGACGATGTTTTAATCGCTAGTTCTTCCATTGACGAACATGTTCAGCACCTACACACACTTTTTGAACGTTTCAAAAGTTATGGTGTTGTAATCAACCCTTCGAAGTGTATATTTGGCGCCTCAACTCTGGAATTCCTGGGACACCACATTGATTCCCAAGGAATTAAACCGCTTGAAGAGAAAGTCAAAGCTATCTCCAGCTATCCAGAACCAACCTCAGTAAAATCACTACGTCGTTTTCTCAGAACATGTAATTTTTATCGACGATTTCTACCAAATTGTGCCGATGTACTACAGCCATTGACAGATTTACTGAAAAACGATAAATCAGGTACCAAGAAAGAAAAGAACCAAATATTCAAGTTACCTTCCGATGCCAAAATAGCATTTGAAAAAGCTAAATCCATGATTGCTAATGCTACCATGCTTCAACACCTAAATACTGACCCCACAACACTGTTGATCCTATGCACGGATGCTTCACAAAAAGCCGTCGGGGCAGTATTACAACAGCGGGTAAACAACACTATTACCCCCATTGCCTTTTTCTCCAAGAGATTATCGCCAGCACAAGAACGTTATAGTACTTTTGGACGCGAACTCTTAGCTATGTATTTAGCAGTAAAACATTTCAACTTTTTGCTACAGGGTCGTGATTTCATCATTATGACAGATCACAAACCTCTTTGCCATTCTTTTAGCACATCGTATGACAAACACTCCCCACGAGAAGCAAGACAACTTGATTATATCTCCCAATTTACCACAGACATCAGGTTTATCAAAGGTCACATGAACATTGTTGCAGATGCACTATCTAGGAGGGATATCAATACGATGGTACTCAATCATGACATCAGCCTTGAAACCTTAGCTAAATTACAAGCAGACGATGCAGAATTGAAAGCCTGCAAAGAAAAGTCTAGCTTAGATCTCAAACCTATACCGATTCCTCTTTCAGATACATTTATCATGTGCGACACTTCAACAGGCAACAATCGTCCGTTTCTCCCACACGCTTGCCGACGAAAAATATTTCAGCATTTACATGGTCTTTCACATTCAGGCATCAGAGCAACAACAAAGCTCATTACCGAACGTTTTGTGTGGCCTAAAATCAACTCGGATGTTAAACGTTGGACACGTAACTGCCTCCAGTGCCAACGCAGTAAGACGCAAAAACACACCTACAGTCCAATTGGGAAGTTCCCTATCCCTGACAAACGCTTTCAGCACGTGCATTTAGATTTAGTTGGGCCTTTGTCACCATCAAACTCTTTCACACATATCTTCACAGCAATAGATAGGTTCACAAGATGGGCCATAGCATGCCCCATTAAAGACACATCGGCAGAGACAGTGGCTTCAGTTTTCCTCGACCGCTGGATATCCAACTTTGGTGTACCATCAACAATCACAACAGATCGCGGTCCCCAATTCCAATCCGTCCTATTTAACGAGTTCACTAAACTTCTTGGAGTAAATCATGTTAAAACGACAGCTTATCATCCGGCAGCTAATGGCATGGTCGAAAGATTCCATCGCCAATTAAAAAGCTCTCTGATGGCACAATCGGACTCTTCAAAATGGGGCGATGCCTTACCGCTCGTTCTCCTTGGGATTCGCTCGTCAGTGAAGGAAGACATCGGATGCACGGCCGCTAAACTAGTCTATGGCACGACATTAACGTTACCAGGACAACTGGTCAAGAATGAACCCACAACGCCAGGAGACCCTACTCGTTTTGTAAGCAGATTACTACAAATGATGCAGAACATCAAAGCAATACCACCTAGAGAACACAACAACCGAGTCCATCTCGATAAACATTTAGAAACGTGCAAATTTGTTTTTGTTCGAGTAGACGCTGTGAAAAAGCCACTGACACCACCGTATGAAGGTCCTTATAAAGTAATAAAACGCACTCACAAATATTTCATTATCAATAAAAATGGGAACACGGAGACAATTTCCATTGACCGAATAAAACCAGCTTTCTACGAAGTCCCTCAAGCCACAGAAGACAATGCTGCGAACATTCACTCCCATCAATTGCTAAGAAACAAGAGGAAGAGGAAAAACTTAGCACTACACCCTCTTGTTTAACACGATCTGGGAGACTTATAAAAAAACCAAAGCGTTATGTACATTTTGCCATATAAAAAAAACAAATAAAACAATCAAAGCAAACAATTATCGAGGACCTACACTATTAATCCCATCTAAAAAATTTTTTTTCTTTTCACAGTGTTCATAATTAATCACATTTTTTCCACAATTATTCGTTTTGTCACATTTTTTTAAAAAAAATTGTAACAATAATAAACGGGTAAACTCTTTTTAATTATTTATTCATTATACACAAAAATGAACAGCTCAATTTTTTTTTGTGTGTGTGGGTTATTAAAAGTTTTACACATTATCCTTGTTAGCCAAACAAGACATTAAATGACAGTATTTCCTTTTTTTGTATTCGTTATGCTATGCTACATTATTGCTATTCTCAAATGATAACACACTCCATCTTATTAATGTTTATGTCATATCCATCTCTACAACTTTTGTTGGTTATAACTGTAAATATTATTTTTGTATATACACATATATCATATTCTTACATTTTTTTTATTATAACCAGTGTTACCTCCGGACACTCTGGGGGGAGCTATGTGGAGATAGATCTGACAAGCTTATCTTGTAAATAGTTTTTAATATTATTTGTATTTGTCAATTTCTCACTGAATGTACATTTATCATTAAATGATTGTACCTGTTGTTTAAGTAAAATGACCTTGAAGACTTTCCGTTGTGTTACTAACATAGCGTGACATACTTTCGGTGGTTCGCAAATACACTACTACGCACATACCCATTGTTCTATTCTCGCTCGTTACCAAGTCAATTGCGTTCTAAACTGGATATTATCCTCATTTCAGACTGCTGTGTCATTTCCATTATATCCTACGTCAAAGAAACTTATTGGCGTCATATTTACCTCTGTGGAATTATTACGCATTCATAATTGTGGATTTATGGGACCAAAACTCAACAGAATACGCAACGACTAGCCGATTTAAGTAACGTCCCTGAACTTTTAATTTGTGTTGTTAATTTATAAATTATTATTGTTACATTAATTTTGGACGTAATAACTTTATCACTGATTTTTGGTTATTATACTTTTTGGTCCACCACAAACACGTTAATTTTTTTTCATAATAACTTTGTCATCATTTTTGGAATTGATATATTTTGGTCCACCACAATCCAATATTTTTTTTCTCTTTCGACACTTGCTTTGAACGAAAAATGCACTTTGTTCGTTTGAACATTTAGGTGACAAAACTTAAAATGTCTTCATGTCATATATTATTCTAAGTGGATTACTATTAATTGAGGATTTATGAAATATATACTGGTGAAATATTCATAATGACTACTTCATGGAGACTCTGGCTTCGACCAAGCATAAACAAACACATTTTTAATGGTTTCCTGATAATTACACATATCTAAGATCGATTGAGGGAGTTTCAATTAAAAAATACCAGACAGAACTTGCCCTCAGTATCGCAATGATTTAACAAGTGGGTTGAAGCAATAAAACTTCATGAATGGGTTCAATATGTCCCAAAACAGACTAGTGGAAAAAACTTACATGATATATCACTTGAAATCAACTCAAACCCACGTTGGATAAACGTCAGACATGAAATTTTTACTAAAGATCATAGAGTTGTAATGTGAACGCTACATTCTTCGATGTCTGTACTATCAGACTCCAAAGTAAAAACAAATTTTCATAGAGGGAAACTCAGTTACGAAGTATGGAAGCGCATTAAAAATAGGTTCACGGTTCATAGAAGGATTGGCAACATATCACAAATAACATAGGCTGAATACTTTGATCTATACTGTAAATCGGAGCACCGTCTATACCGTCCAGCTACAAGTATTAAACATACCACTAGTAAAATCAGTAAGACATAATTAGTAACGCTTGTTGCACCTCAT